TATCTATCTATCTATCTATCTATCTATCTATCTATCTATCTATCTATCTATCTATCTATCTATCTATCTATCTATCTATCTATCTATCTATCCACCCTTTGTCATCTTTCAACAACTTAATATGTTCAGCTACATTTGTGTTTGTTGTAAAACACCAGATGAGCATCTAATCCCAGTTTGCCTCTTCCTTCTCTCTCCTGCAGTCCGTTTTATGGCGAGGACTTCTACTGTGAGATCCCTCGTAGCTTCAGACACCTCTCCTTCTACGTCTTCGACCGGGAGGTCTTCAGAAGGGGCTCCAGTATTGGTGAGCAGACAGCTGCTACATCTGTTCGAAACCCACCATTTGGCCCCACACTGTGCTCAGAGAATGAATCATACTGAGAATTAAAGAAGGAAAAATGAGCCTCAACACGCTTGTGAGGTGACTTTTTACTTTTATAGATCAGCAATGGCACCTTGCAGTGTTATAAAGCAACAATTTCCATTTTATTGAGTCAAGCAATTGATTCTTCTCACCTTGTGCTTATTATTTGAAAAAAAAAAAGGCACAAAAAGGACTACTATACTACATAATATAAGTAAATATTTACGAGTGGTTTTGGTTGCAGGTGTGCAAGTGTCAGCTACAGTCACATCACTCAGTCACCACTTGCTTAATTACACACAGACTCAGCCATGCTTTCCCTTCCTATGTTTTGATTCGCTGTCACTATTGATGGGCCTTAGCTGTTTACATTCTGACAAACTCCCATTGGCCACTGGTCCCTGTCTCCACGGCAACATGCTGAGTCAGCGTTCCTCCATAGTAGAATGAGACTAAGAATAAAATGCTGCAGCTAGCAGCCGGTTCGCCTCTAGACCGTCAGCCGAGCCATCACTCAAAGGCTACTTAGGAGCTTTCCTGTTTTGGATTTAACTGATTTAAGGACAGCAGAGTCGCCACCTTTTCAGACTACAACCCCTCCTTACTTACGTCTCATTCCAAAAAACAACAACTTTACACTAGATATCTACCGGAGCTGCTGCTCCTACATGCTTTGAATGTGCTTATTGCAAGTTTCTTTGGATCAAAGCATCTATCAAATGAATTTTGGGCACTGTGAATACCTCTTTGTGTGCTCATTTCCACTAATTGCATTTTACAAAAAGCCAACTGAGTGCATGGTTGCAAACACAGACGATTAATGTAATAGGCATACTTTTTCCTCTGTAAATCACACCCATAAGTTGAATTTTTGCCCAAAGATTAAGTGGGTTGTGTCTTTCTTTTGGTCTCGTACAATTTTGTCTGCTCCTACTAACAGAAAGAGTGATACTTTGGCTTTTGCATCACTTATTGCTGGAAGGTTCTGATTCCACCTTTAACTTCTTCTTTTCTGGGGGACTTGATGCGTTTTCTGCATTTAGAGAAAAATCTAATATAATTTGAGATAACTTGCTAACTTTTTGGCTTCCAGTCTCTTACCTCCCTGGACTTTATCTATTTGTACGTTAGTCAGTCTGTTTTCATAATCTACAATTTTGCAGCTCTGTGACAAAAAGTCAGAATTACAATTGTTTTTTACTCTCTTTGATTGAACTTTTAATTGATTTTTCTACGTAATTATTGCCAATTGAAGAGGAATCACCTGTATCTCACAGTGTGTGGGCCTCTTCAGATGAGAATGAAATAATTAATTGTTTCTACATTATGGGTGTGGCAGCTGTATCATTGAAAAATATTTCCAATAAAATAAATGTGGAAAGGTGTGGCTGTTTGTGTGGCCGGATGCTTTTATCAGTGTCACTGGGTGTGTCTGGCAGTTTTGGATGTGTTGCAGCTCCTGTTTGTGGGTGTTACAAGAATAAAAACAAAGTTGTTAGTTTCAGGGTGGAAATGGCAGGGGTCACTGCCAGGCCACCAAAGTGCATTTTCTCAGTATTTCTGCACCAGGTGCCTACACGCATTAAAAACAAATCTGTGGATTTACAGGTCATGAGCAGACATGCAAGCACGTGTGTGGGTGTCTGTCAAGAGCTCGCTGTAACTCGCATCTGAACATGTTAGCCTCAACGGAAACGTAACGTGAGTTATGTTTTGAGCTCATTTGTCATTGTGTGTAAATGTGTGTGCAGGCAAGGTCGCTGTGAAGAAAGAGGACCTGCAGAAATATCACGGGAAAGACACCTGGTTCCAGCTGCAACCTGTCAGCGCTGACTCAGAAGTGCAGGTCAGTACAGTGAGAACACACAATCACTCTTTTTAAATACAAAGCACTCGCTCATCATCTTTGCTGCTTCTTGTAGAATCTGCAGTTGTTTTGCCTCACAGAGGGCTGGATAGATTTTTGGTATCGACCCAAAATGTGTGTGGTTGAAACCGAAAGCTGACATTATCATCGTCCCTTTGATTCTCACAGCTGTTTTTGTTGAGTCAAATTTAAAGCAAGACAAAACTGTAGATTATTAATAGTTACCGAAGTGACAGGGAGAACCTTTAATCGGCTGTTTATTTGGGGAAGGTTCATATTAGAGATATACCTTTCTTTCTTTGATTTTCAAATTTCACAGAACTAAATCCACCAGTACAACATGAGGTGGTGTAATTAGAAGAGCCCCAACACACAAAGAACACAAACAAACCATGAATATAATGTTAGATAATTTCTGTGTCATCAACTGTTTCCATTGCGCTTTGTTGTATAAAAATGTATTCAATACACAACTTGGGTTTTTTTTAAGCTCTCCTCAGTGTCAAAGCTGTATTGTGCTACATTTAGAATTTTCCTTTTTTAATTCTCTGCACTTTCATCCAGCTGTTTTAGTGGACAAATTGAAAATACACATAAAACATCTGGAAATAAACCAAACTGCCAACATAAATAAGAAATTAAAGGGCCCCAAAATAGAACCCTGAGAAACTCGACATATTAAATGAACTATGTTTGAAGAGAGTAACCCTTTGTTATGTTGCCCCACAAATGATATAATGATTCATTCAAAATTTTCACAAGAGCAGTCTGACAGGTAACCTTTTAATGATAGAAACAAGTTTCGGATTTTTGGCAGACCTTGACCACAAATAAGAGAACTGTGAAGCATCAGCGTGTTGTGTATTACTTGAGTATAACGTTAAGAATCTTTAGATTATGTTGTTGTGTAACTGATATTGCCAAGTCAGTAAGCTGAATTTCTGACCTTGCTGTACTTGTTCATACAGTTACTTCAACAAATAAAGTGAAATAACCCTCATGAACCCAAAACCTGTCAGCAGGATTTAAAGGCATATTATCTTCAAAAAAGTACAAAATTGTACCCTTTGTTTGAGTTAGAAACCATGAAAAGATAAAGAATTTCCAGATTTTTAGCTTTCTGACAGTCTTTGAACTAATCACAAACAGATTTTTCCTCAACATTCCTTTATTGTAGACGTCTAGTGAAAAAAAAAAAGGTTTGCACGAACAGGATTTTGTCAAAGACAAAAATTCTGCATTCCTCAGCACAATTGAGGAGCCTTTTATTGGCTCAGCTGCAACCAACAGTCATGCGACAAAAATTCAGGGAATACTCGTTTAAACTGCAGGCTGTGTATACGTGAAACCAATAGGAGAACTGTAAATAGTTAAGTATCTAAAGAATATAGAACCACCATTTCTTTTTCAAGTATTTGTGACAGCTGTGGACACGAGGAAAAACGATTTATGTCATAACTGGGTCATAAAGCACAAAAGACATTTCTGAGTTCTCTGTAATTCTAACCGTGATTGTGCTGTTTCCATAGAGATAGAAGACTTTGTATTTCAGTGGAAAAGAACCCACAATGGGCAAAAACGAGGTAAAAACGTCTGGAGACTGCAAGTGATTCAGAGGGGTAAACTCGCTTTGACGTAAATATTATGAGAAGTTTAGCATCATTTGTTAAAGCAAAACAAGCTTTCTGGGGGGAAAATCCTTTAATTAACGTACTAAAAAAAGCTTTGGTTTATTATTGATACTGAAATTCAGGTTCGGTAAATGTGATCACATCAAAATATTTCAACCATTACCCACCCTTTGCTCACACTTACCCTGCATATAGGATATGCACAGATGTATATGTGTGACAGTGTGTTTGCATGTATTTTATGTGTCTGCATGAATCCGGGCAGAACCCAAACAAACACAGCATGTGTGCACCTGAAACACTGGAGCCCGCAGGGTCAAAGTCACCTGGCTCTCTGTGTCTGCTGTTAAAAAACATTAATTCACCTCCATTACAGCTCAGTTTGTCATAAGCTGGTGAAAGAGTGAACACAGCCAATATTTTCCATTTGTCATGAGTGAATGAATGAATGACAGCTGGCTGTGATAGATGGGAAAGTGCTGTTGAAAATAATAACAGCACATCTCACGGCTCTTGTCCAATGGAGATAAAAGCAGATCAGACTGAGTCATTGTTCTGGTATGAAATATTAAAGAGTGAAGTGTTCATTTTTAAATTACATGTTTTCATGTTAAGGATGGCAACTCCATTTACAGCAGATTTGTTAGCAGTGATGCAAATCAAATGCGCATTAAAACATTGATGCAGAATCGGCTCAGATGCTGGAAAATTAATTCCCCTGTCCAGCAGGGCGTGTTGATAAAAGAATAAAAACTTCAGTGCAACAAGTGCAGGAGAGTCTGCACAATCCACGGGAGAATTTAAAAGTAAATTTAGTCACCTTTTCTAACTGCAGCTGTTTTATCTAATATATAGCTCTCCTAATAGCTCAACCCAAATTTTAGAACAAACCCAAAGGACAAGCTGAGTGATCAGTGTATTATTAATTACAGAAAAACTCAATTTATTTTTGATTTCCGAAATTTTTTTGCAGTCAAGTGTGAAGTGCGCTGTTGGCGCTCGCCCAACACGCTTGTTTCGTAAATGTGCAATATTTTCTACTAGTCACTATTCAGCAGTGTCACTCACCCACGCAGCCACAGACACACACAGGGCGAGAGACACAGCGAACAGTAACATCTGCAGACAGATGGGTGTGTGTAGCCCTGGAGCAGCGATCTGAAACAGAGACACATTCATCCGAGTAGCCGGGGAGAGGAAGGATGTGTGAGAGAATGAGAGAAGAGAGAGAGAGAGAGAGAGAGAGAAAAAGCGAAGGAGATGGATCAAATGAAGTAGGAAGATAGAGTGTCTCTCTTCTCTTTTCAATAGAGGACACATTGTTTGGCCTGTGCGCACATGTGTGTGTGTGTGTAAGCGCGTGTGTTTGTACCCTCGGCTTGAATCGCCCAGAAAGAGCAACGCCTGTGAGTTTGCATACTGATGCTGTTAATTAATGGCGCTTTTCTAGACAGCTGCACCACTACACTGTCATTATGTCATTAATCCAATCACTTCAGAGGCAAAATAACTTCAGCATGACGTTGAGGCTCGCAGCTATTTTCATAGTGCTGCAGGAATGCCACTTGTTCACGTTTATGTGTTTTTGTTTTGAACAGAGAAATTTATGAAAAAGGAATTCGTCTTACTGACTATGGATCAAGACTTTTCTAAAATACTCTCTCAACCCCTGGGTGCATGATAAGACATCTGCATCGCTATGTCAAGGATGACATGTTTTATATGAGTTGAAATTAGTTTTTAGAATGGATTCGTTTGCACCGTTTTGCCAGATTCAACAGAAACTAGTTTTCAATGGACAGAGCCGGATTTTTTTCTACGTTTATGCTGTTATAGGAAAAACAACGGGTGCATAAAAAGTGTTTGTGTTTGTGTTTCCTGCAGGGAAAAGTGCACCTGGAGCTGCGTCTTAGTGAAGTCATCACAGACAGCGGAGTCATCAACCATAAACTGGCCACACGGTAGGACTACGCACACACACACACACACACATATTGCTTTTTGGTTTTATTTTATGCGTCTGTACATAACAACACTGTGCCCTATGATTATATTTGACTTTTCTGATTTTTATTTGGCAATTTCATATCACTGTATTATAGACAGAGTAGAGTACATGGAAAATGCAGAAAGTACACTTCCCTTACCTCTGTTCGTCACAGTTTTACAATAATATAATTATTACAGCTGATAACAAATCAATCAAGACATACTGTAATATCCTGTCAGCTGCTGTCACTTGCTCTAATTTGTATAAAACTATGAAAATGATCAGTAATAAACAAAAGGATGGATTCAAACTAGTGAGGAAGAGGCTAAGTAAAACTGTGGATTTTTTTTTTATTTTTTAGAAATGATTAATGATTAATTCATTGTTTCTCACTGACACACACTGTGTGCCAACTTTTAGACAGGTTTACCTTCAGTGGCACTTTGCTACAGTCTTGGCATGTTGCTGCTGTTAACTGTAGATCAGCAAGAATGTGTGTTACTTTCTCACCTGCATATACACAGACACCTATCCTGATGTGTTCGCAATACAAACAACAAAAAGGAGCTTCTGTCAAAAACGCCTTCAAACTGAGATTATCTAATCAGTTTATAATAACACTGAGGCTGCTTTGACTTCAGATGTTGCTATGAAGCTGTGTCTCTGGTAGCACCCAGGAGCTAACCTTGATATCTGAAGTATCTCAGTGGCTTCGGTGCAGAGCGCTTTATTCCACCTTTATGGTGCATAGCTTGTTGCTTGGCAACAGCTTTTGACTGGCAGTGAGACGACTTGAGCCTTTTTGTTTAGACTCCTTTTGAATGTGTGAATCAAAACACAGTGGAAGTCACGAACTTGCAAATGCATTCAGAATATTGTTTCTGTAGGTGTTGTGAAATATTATTGTTTTCTAGTGTTATGGATGAACTTGACTGCGGATCGATGATGTGCTCATGGGTGGATTATTCTGTAGATGTGTGTGTTTGCTTGTTGGCTTTCCAGCTTCTGTAACAGGCAGCAGTAAAGTCTGATGATGAGCCAGCGTGGCTTCGTTCCCAGAGCACATTGTTGTTAAGGAGCTTAGAGCGCAGAGCAGGAGGTCATCTAGTCAGATTTCTCTAGAAAGACACGTGTGTGAGAGAGAGATGGAGACAGAGCTGTGTCCATTCAGCTCTACACAGCAAAGAAGTCAAACTCGCCGGTTAGCCAACATTAAGCTGATGTGAATGGCAGAGCCAGCTTGATGCGCATCAGTTTTAGTTCTACTCAAACATGTCAGTGTTAGACTAAGAAATTAGAAAATCAGTAGAAAAACATTTTGAGGGTCTTGTGCCATGTGTATTTCCAATTTGTGCCTTTTTTTTTTTTTTTCTTTAAAGAAAAAGGAAAACGTTCATTTACATTTATGTGACAGTGACAGTCAATACTTACTATACAGCAGCTCATGCAAAATGTATATTTAAGTATCTGAAGATTTGACCTTTAAACACTCCCTGGCCAAACCATGAGTCGCTGGAAAAATTTGCTGCTGCTGTCTGAATGAATCTCAGTGAAATTCTACATCTTACAAAAAGTCTCACTATTCAAACTGTGGAAACCATTTTTAAATACTGATAAGATAGCAACCATAGCAGCAGCTGCAATAGTTCTATAATCCTCTGATGGGTTTAAAAAGGCATGTTATTTATTTTTTTAATCGCCAAAATGACACAATTTCTCAGCCAGAAACTGTAGAAACATAAAGGATTGTCGGATTGTCAGTGATCTTTCAACTAATCAGCTCTCATGTGCCATTCCATCAGAAAAATGAACTACACTGAACAAAAATATAAACGCCCCATGTTAAATATTGTTGCCATGTGGAGTTAACAACTGTAAACGAGCATTTGCTGACATTTTATTGTACAAAAGTAATATTTCTCTTGATTTGTGTATAATTTTTAATCTAATTTGCTGTCAGTGAGCATTACTCAGTGAGTTGTTTTTTTACTCAGTGCATGGGTGGGGCATGTCCAGTGGGTGATCAGACAAATTGAGCAACAGCTGGACAATCCTTGGACTGGAGACAATAAAAAGCCACCCCAAAATGTCATATTTTCACAAGTCATAATGCCTCAGATGTCGCAAGTTATGCGGGAGCGTGCCATTGGCATGTTGGATGCAGGGATGTTCACCAGAGCAGTAGCTGCACGGCTCAATGTCCATTATCGGACCATAGGCCGTTTAAGAGTTCGTTTCCAACAGACTGGCACTACTGCAAATCGACCTCATCCTCATCGGCCACGTGTGACCACTCCAGCACAAGATCGCCACATCTGGCTCGTCCATCTGTGGGATCGGCTAAGACCAGCGACACACACAGCTGATGAGACTATTGGTCTGCACAACAGACGCATCACACCTCAGATTTCTGTAACTGCCTATGAGAAGCCAACTTGCATGCTCGGCGCCCTCACCGTGGTCTGGATCTCACTGCTGTCCAGCGTAGGAACCGATTCACATGGGCGAATGCACATGTCCAATGGCCCTTGGCACGCTGGAGAAGAGTGATGTTCACGGATGAATCCAGGTTCCAGTTGTATCGTGCAGATGGAAGACAGCGTGTCTGGTGACGCGTGGGTGAACGGTTTGCAGATGTAAATGTTATGCCCAGGGTTGCCCATGGAGGTGGTGGGATTATGGTGTGGTCAGGCATCACATACAGGCATAGAATACCATTGCAATTCATTGAAGGGAACCTTAATGCACAAAGATATCGGGACGAGAGTCTCATCCCAATTGTTGTGCCGTTTGTGCGCCAGCATGACATCACCTTTCAACATGACAATGCCCGACCTCATGTTGCCCACATCTGCATGGAATTCCTTCAAACAGAGGACATTGAAGTTCTGGACTGGCCTGCATATTCGCCAGACATGTCCCCAATAGAGCATCTTTGGGATGTTCTGGATAGGTGTGTCCGGGACCGTGTTCCAGTTCCAGGCAATGTGAGTCAACTCCATGTGGCACTCCAGAAGGAATGGAATAACATTCCACAGGTCACCACAGCCAATCTGATCAACTCCATGCGAAGAAGATGTGTTGCTCTGAGAGACACAGCTGGCGGACACACAAGATACTGAAAAATCAAATTCCTCAACCTGACCCCTATCATGTTCAAAGGACTGTCAGTCTGCTACAAATGGCCATACCACGATGTTATTAATGCCGATATGAAGATCAGTATTTACTGAAAATATATTTTGAGTTTCTCTATATATTGCGTAACCCACAATGTTCATAAAACTCTTATATTTGACATGGGACTTTATATTTTTGTTCAGTGTAAACTGAAGTTCAAAATTGTGATATTTCATCACAATTATTTGAGTTGACATGTCCTGTTTAAAAATGTTTACTTGCCGTTACCCCAAAGCCGTTTAAAGGGCTTAAGGCCTGTTCTCAAATGCATTTGTCATTCGTTACATGACAATAAGACTGATCCTACTGGATGTGTGCAACTCCTAACATCAGAATATTAAAATCTAGGATTCGACCCCTTCGAAAGCTACGTCAACTGTTAACAGCCCTTGAGCGCAGCAAAACTATAACAGGCAGTCAAAACCTGCAACATGTGTCACATGTGACATGACATCAGCCACTCTGTATTGAATCTAAATGCACAGTGTGCTAGTCTTTGTACTCTGGTATGATCTGTTGTCTGTTGTACATGCCAAAAGGTTGACCATGACTGGAAGTAGTGCTGTTTCATAGTGTATTTCTAGTAACACCTAAAGTGTGAACAGTGTTATATGAGAAACATTATTTGTCAGTCAAAATGGGACATTGCTTTGTAATAGGTGTGCGTACACAAAAAGATGGTAGTTTCTTTCCTCTGCAGGGGCACGCACTTGTTGAATCGCTATGTGCTGCAGACTATTTTCAGTAAACAAAATGCTTTAAAGCTTTTAATGTCTTTTAGTGAAAAAAAAAAAGCTGTGAATGTTAAGGCTTTTACTACCCAACAGTAAAAAAATAAAATGAAATGAGCACTACTTCTAACCACAGTAGCACAACCTAGCCATTAAAGAATCAGTAATAATTAGGGCTGCACAATTAATCGAATTTTAATCACGATTATGATATTGGTTTCCTACCATCAAATTTGCATGATCGAGCGATATTTAAAATGTGTAATGCTGTGTTCACACCAGACACGAGTAAAATCATTTGCGCTAATGATTTACATGTAAAGTCAATGTGAAGACGCGATTAGACACAAGTTAACGTCCCGCGGCACGGCTTGCGCGGCACAATTGACACGAATTGAGCGAGTTATTCGCGCGTATGATGCGATTCTTGACTAGCATTTGAAGAGCAAGTTGAAAAATCAGAACGTTTGCAATCTGACATGCCGCGATGGCCAATCAGCGTTGACATTCTCTGGTGACATCAACATGATTCATTCATATTTTTTTTTTTACAACTACACCGTGATTATTGATTGATTTACTTTGGAATTTTATCCACATCCAGTTTATAATTTAGTTCAGAAAATGTAGGCCTGTTTACAGAATGGAAATGGAAACTAGTGCCCTGTTTTGTTGCCTTTTCATTATTCTTTTATTTATCTTTATTTATTTTTTAAGGAGTTGCACTGAATTTTGGAGAAAAAGAGGACCTATTTTATTTTTAAGCACATATTTGCACATTAGCAGGAATGCAGCACAATATATGGATGCGAAAACAGTTATAATAAGTCTGTAAAACAATAAAGTTTGTTTTGGTTAAAATCAACAAATAATCAGAATAATTAATCATGATTTCAATATTTATCAAAATAATCGTGATTGTCGTTTTGGCCATAATCGTGCAGCCCTAGTAATAATAATGAAATAATAAATAGAAGAGAGTATTATGATGTGGCAAGTTTTTTTAAATAAAAAGTACTTTGACTTTTAATGCAGTAATAGGGCTGGGCCATATCATGCTATGCACAGTAAT